AACAACTTGAGGAAGACTTGTATTTGATTGCAAACAGTTGTTCCGAAAATGAATTGCTTATTAACCCGGGAAAGACCAAATACATGCTGATTGGCACACGGCAAAACCTACAACAACTTCCCGTAGATGTGACCATAAACTTCCTCAACGAGACTATTACCCCCGTCTCCTTTGCCAAAGATCTAGGAATGACAATCGACTCTTATTTGACATATGACCAGCACATCACCAACCTGGTTTCCTCATGTATGAATTCCCTGTGCCAAATAAACAGAGTCAAAAAATGTTTCGATAAAGAAGCTTTAACTCTCATCGTCTCGGCACTTGTAATGAACAAAATGTTCTATTGTTTAACGGTTTGGTCAAACACTTCGTCTACCAACATTAAGAAACTACAGTTGGTACAAAATTTTGCATGCAGGATAATAACAAATATTGGAAAGTTCGACCATATTTCGCCGGGCTTACGCGAACTTAACTGGCTCCCAGTAAAGGAACAATTACTACTAAGAGAGGCTATTATGATGTACAAATGTGTCAATGAACTTGCGCCACATTATTTGAGCGATTTATTCACAAAACGTTCTGACATTCATCAACGAGATACACGTAGCCATGACTCACTGCAAATACCATTGTACAAAACTTCTGTAGGTCAAAGGTCCTCTCATTATAGAGGCGTTACACTCTGGAATGATTTGGACATAAAGTACAAAAAGTTAGACTACCTAAAAACTTTCAAAAACGAACTGAAGCGAAGCATGCTAGAACAAATATATAAGTAGATGATTTTACCTTGTTAAACTTTATACAAATGTCTTACCTTTTTACCTTAATTTAAATTCTAGATTCTAAAACTTGTAAATAGAACAACATTTATTTTTTGTAAATCAGTGTTGAAAATCCCTATTTAGGGAACACAATAAAGTATGTATGTATGTATGTATGTATATGCCTGGTCAAATATGACGAGTCACGTGACCTGCCGATACCAGCGTCTCAATTCAAGTGAGGTAGGAGCGAAGATTGAGAACCTGGGTACGAGGTTGAACAAACCACTGGTCTCACCTATATAAATAGTATAATATACAGTAAATGTATTTTCTCACGAACCTGAAATTCGGACTTTCGCGTGCAACTTCCACTCCCACAGAATTACCGTTCACAAAGACCTTTTAAGATCGAAATCTCTCGAGAAAATCGTAATTATAACAATATTTTCGCGTGAACAGAGCCATATAACACTCATGCCAGCCCGGGTCATTGCGCTTATATGGGAAATACCGAGCCGGTCACCCTCTCGAGTCAATCGAGATCTCGCTTATAGACGGGCCAGATCGGTTCCCATATAAACGCAAAATACAGAAGGAAATAATAACAACGGCGGGATAGCGCCTAAACCGGGCCAACTCGTGTACCTGAGCGTCATCGTCCCATGAAAAACCGCCCCTAACCTGAGAAATTTGAGCTCAACCGCGCAGCGAAATAATACGAATCGTACTATTTTGCTGCGCGGCTGAGCTCAAATTTCAAACGTAGACTCGCTACAAGTTAGCCGGCGTCACAGACCTTATAATTATAACCTGTTGTTTTTAAATGGTTTGTTATGAATATAATGCATGAATTATAATCGTATATAGGAGATATTACAACAGATAATCGAAACATAACTTTGAAATACTGCATATATTAATTAAATTCATTCAAACATATTTAATAACTGAATCTCATGAACAAGCAATCGCGCCAATGTTCATAGACCTTACGAATTGCAATGTCTGTGACACGGGCTAGCTACAAGTCGACTCGACTAAATTGTCTGACTCGTACCCAGTCCTGAACTATATTTATAAGTCCCACCATGCTCCACTGTATTTTTCAATCTTTATTGGAGGGACTGGGTATGAGTTAGCTTAATTGCAGCAAGTCTACGTTTATGGGCATGAACGCCATCGAATTGCGGTTCCCGTGCCATTTTTGGCACCGCATTATATTCTGCCTGTGAGTTTGTGAGTTTGTTAGTTTGTTTGTTAGTTTGATCGCATCAATACGTTTCCTTAATCGCGTACCAAAAATTCTTTGCACGTGCTCGGAATTTATTAATTATTATTAATCGTGTACTCTCATGATGATCGACTGTTTGCTCAGCTTTATCTCTGGTTTTATGCATCAAACAAGGACAAAAATACCACTGTTCAAATCAGCGTGAAAAGTTGTGTGTTACGGATAGAAAATGATTTCAAAATTGACTTCTATTCTAGCTATTTGTCGCCTTTGAAAGACAAAAGCCGCTCAAAATAATCCTTCACGTTTTCCGAATTCCTTTTTTCGAGGAAAGTTTTCTTTCGAATTACAACTCGAACTCTCACGAAACTCTTTTTGCTGCGTCTTATCTCTGGTTTTATGCGCCCAATAAGGATAAAAATACCACCGTTCGATTCAGTGTAAGAAATTATACTCACAGATGTCAAATGTATTACTAAACTACAGTATTCTAGCGATTTATGGCCTTTGAAAACAAGCGAAATTGTACATTTGACCTTGATAACTTTCGTATTGTTGGTTTTCTCTTTTTCGGCCGTATACCAGTGGATTCATCTCACTTTTCTCTTTATTTTGTTAGTAGTTTGAGCCCAAAATATTATATTTTGAAGCTTTTAATGTGCAGTTTTAATAAGCGAAATTGTATTGTTTACAAATCGCTCAAAATTACTAAACTAATTAAAAATGCAGTCCGTTTGATCCTTGATAAATGATAACTTCGGAATTGTTGGGTTTTCTCGTTTTCGGCCGTATGCCAGTGGATTCGTCTCACTTTTCTCTTCATTTTGATAGTATTTTGAGCCCAAAATATTATATTTTGAAGGCTTTAAAACGCAGTTTCGACCCTAACGTACGGACCAACTGGCGGCCGACAGGAGAATGCAGCGTGCTAAATATCAAACTAGGGTACCTGCAAAGGTAGGGATTGCTGCGAGCATTAAAAGCAAAAGAACCACAGTAAAGAGCACAAATTATATCAAGCACAGTGATTACTCGCAGCGACTAGTGAGCTGTGAATGGAACTGAAAAGAAGGACAAGAAGCAATATGATATTGAAGTAGCAAAGATTGAGGTAACAAAGACAAGGGTTAAAGGGCAATCAGAGGTGACAGATATTAAACATGTGCGTCTCATTGACATACAGGTAAATTAAGATCAGATTTCATATCAAGTCTGTCAAGTCATATCTGCTAGGTGCATTTACCACATTATATAGACTATATACACAGATTTATCACACTAAGAAACCAAAACTTTATAAAAAATATAGAACTGACAGTGGCCAAAGTCCAAAACAAATGTAAGCGTAACATTAGACGTCACATGAAAAAGCTTCAGAAATTCGATAAAAATTCGATGGTGGGTCCTCGCGCGCTCACTTTTCCCTCACTAGAAACAACTTCATGTATTAACCAACAGGAGGAATCTAGGGGCCCCATCTAGCGTATTATTTTATATAAGTTTACTTGTAGGCGAAACGCCAGAAATTTTTTTTGCAGGGCACCGCATTTTAGTACTGTGTCTGGTTTTTTATGTGTTCGCACATTTCGATGATATCCGTAATGAAATTCCATTGCTCGTTGATAGCTCAATTAGAATAGGTAAAGCGGCGGACCGGAGTCCCAAAAATGAGAGTTCAAAATCTCGCCCAAGACAACTGAGAAGGTTGACTTCGGAACTTATTTACACTTCTTCTCATCGAGATTTCGGCATGATTATCTAAACTCATATTTTTATGAAAACTGTCGCCAACTAATCCGACATAAACCTTAATCCAATCTCTGTCCACAGACAGTTTTATATTTAGTATCCAATCAAATGTTCCAGGGGAAATGCAAATTTCACACAATAACAACATTCTAATCATAGTTAAAACTACTAATTATAATCATAAACAGTAGTTTAATCCAATTAGTATACTAACCAATAAAAAAACAGATTAAATTTTTTTGTCAGATAGACTAACCAGCGGGCAGATAGGGATTTGTATTTCCCCTCTTCCACTTCCATGCCAGACGCATTTATGGGACGGGAATACAGACCTGGCTGCTACTCTGGTTAACTACAGGTTGGCGCTGACCTCTACTCGGTTATACTCTGGGTGCAAAGCTTTTCTGGTGTCTGGCGAGTCTTAGCTGATGGCGGGTGGAGAGAGTGAAGGCTACATGATCTACCTGATCCAGGGGAACCGGTGTTGAGCCACCCGGAATAGCATCATCTAATCCACAATTTTCTCCTTCAGATTGAAAAGATGACTACTACTGGCTGTAACCAAGTATCTACCTGTCAATTTCATGATCATCTGTGTCAAAATGGCGAAAGCTATGTTCCACTCACACCTACAGATCATACAACACTTCGTTACAAATGCCAGTGTTTAACAGGTTATACAGGACGCCTGTGTCAACATGCAATAAAATCTTGTCGTGCTTACAGTAACGGTTCTCGAGTCCCTGGAAATTATCAGGTGTTGGATGATAACATGAAACCCTATGAAGTGTTCTGCGATTTTGATTCAAGTTTGAACAAGGTATGGACACTTGTTAGTTCATATCAACTTCGAAATAAGGATAATTTTGACGAAGCCTATTTTAAAGATTGGCCTGTGAACGAAAACACGTCTCGCTGGGATGAATATCGTCTTTCGAAACCCAGAATGCAATCTGTTCAAGACGATTCCAGCAAATTTCGTGTGACATGCAAGTATGATACCGATGGTCTAAACTACACTGATTATCTTGAGGCAAAAAAGGAACACATTGATATCCTGAATTTCGAATATCGCCACACGCACATTCCCGTCGTTTGCTCTTTAGTAGACTATGTAAATATTCGAGGAGATGATTGCGCGTTCTGTACAATGATTTTATACCAAGACTCCTACACACTTCACGGCGATTCCTCTAAAACAGATGGCTGCGACTTTAATTCAACTGGTGCAGAAAAGTGTGGAGGTCCCGGAGAAGATAATTTTGGTCACTATGGTTGTGTCAATCCAGCCCACCGTTGCTCATCGTCTGCGGATGCCACGACACAATTATGGTTTGGAGCTGACTGGTTGTAACGGATTTATAAAATTTTTATCGAAACTGTTCCAAGAACTGCCAAGTACTATAAATAGCAGATACTTAGCAGTTATTCTACGAAATCGAGTCGCTCATATTCGACAACAGTGAGTGGAATAACTGTTTTATTATATGCACAAGGTCTGAATTCACAGACTTTGCTTTTCGGATATTTTCAATATTTTTCTATTTTGTTTATTGTTTTTATCTTCGCTCTTTCGGTCGATTATTTTTTCAAAAATATGTATTTTTAACCATTTTAAATTTTAAAAATTCATTTGCTAACCTGTAAACAATTAAATTGTGGGAGTTTTTTTATTGTGTTTTTAATCCTGTAAAAGCTATAAAAAGCGAACAGCTTGCCGTTTTATCGTTCGCAAAAGTCGGAAATTCAGTTTGAGCCGCCAGTTTTGTTTTTCTCTACTAGCAGGATATGAGCTAATATCCTGCTAGTAGTGAACCACTCAGATTGCAGAATACCTCATATCCGGACCTTGTGTATATAATAATACGGTATATTCAAGGTTGTGAAACGGATATTATTATATAAAGTACAGTGCTTTATAGAGATTTCGAGCACTGATAAAACTGATAATCTCACATGTGAGATTATTCATGATAATCTCACATGTGAAAATTATCGCTTTTCAATTATCGCTTTTCTGTAAAAATTATCGCTTTTCAAAGACTGTTCTTTATATAATAAACAAAAAATATACATGGGTGCTTGGAAATACCAGATTTATTTCCCGTGTTGAACACGATATCTCACTCGTTCGCTGCGCTTACTCGTGAGATATCATGTTCAACACTCGAAATAAATCTGGTATTTCCAAGCACCCATGTATTATTCTCTATTTAAACAATGTATAATGTATATAGTCGATATTTTTAGCTTTAATTAGAACAGTGGTGGACGCTCCCTTTTCTGGGTGAGTCCCAGATCACGCTCTTTATAAGACCGGTATATATCACGAATTTTCTGTCCAATTAGCCGTTCCGAATTTGTTGAGTGGACTGAGGACGAGTGTTAAAAAATAATTTTAATATTTTATTGTAAATAGTTGGTGCAATGTCCGTAATGGATTTTACAGACTTAAAGTGTATATGACATGAAATTTCTTATTTTCTTAAATGAAAGTTGCACTGGTTATAAATGTATTAACTCTACAAACTGTTGATATCAGTTCACGTTTTTCTCCAGTGTTTCATCGCATTTACCAGTGAGCGAAGTTTGAAATTATCATCTTGGATGATAGCAGTGATATTCAACCATTTTAAAGAGCTTGCAACCAACATAACGTTCATAAATTAGCGGACATATTCACACTCATTTTCATATCAAACAAATTAAAATATCTCGGGAACAAACCATAAAAACAATAAACTGAAAAATAAGTTGCACTACAGCTTAAAGAGTTCTTTCATTTAAGAAAATAAGAAATTTCATTTCATATACACTTTAACATATGTAGATGTAGAAATCCGACTAAAACACCATCTCAAAATTAGCAAGTATACAAAGTTTGAAGACGTTTACATGAATACCAGTACCCATCGAATAATAAGCTTTCGAGAATTGTGAAATTACTGATTAAATTACTGTTTTTGGGACGCGCGTCCCCCAAAACAAAAATTACAGTACATTTCATAGTAAATATCGCGATTTTCGAAAGCTTATTATTCGATGGGTACTGGTATTCATGTAAACGTCTTGAAACTTTGTTTACTTACTAATTTTGAGATGGTCTTTTTTAATAGTGATTTGGTTCATTTCTTAATTTGGGCACTTTTTAACACTTGTCCCCAGCCTTTCATCAACTTCGGAATGACTAATTACTCGTAATTAGGTAATAAGTGTACAAGTTGAATGGCAGCTTGAACAGATAAAAACAGGGTAAAAGTTTATGATAATTCCAATATTTATGCAATGTAAATAAATTTCTGGGGAACATGCGCACACCAGAGGAAACAGGGTAATAAGGGTAATAAGGGTAATAAGCATTGGAAATAAGCCAACATGTGGAAAACAATTAGGTAAAGGACAATAAAAGTAATGAACCAATCAGATGGATTTGGTCAAAACAAAGTGTAACTGCCCGACGAAGGGCCTTCGAAATGTCGAAGTTCTCCTTGTATTTTTCAGGTAGTTGTATCTCTATCAATCCGAACCTTTCAGATTGGTACTACCTTCACTGGCGCAGACCGACAAGATGATAAGAGTAATAAGCATTGGAAATAAGCACACATGAGCAAGCCAAAAGGTAACAGGGTAATAAGCATTGGAAATATGCTCACATAAACATATAAAAAAGGAAAGAGGATAATAAGTTAGAGTAATAAGCATTGGAAATAAGCACACATAAACATATCAAAATTCAAAAAGGTAACAAGGTAATAAATTCAAAAAGGTAACAAGGTAATAAGCAATGGAAATAAGCACACATAAACATATCAAAAAGGTAACAGGGTAATAAGAGTAATAAGAATTGGAAATAAGCACACGTATGCAAAGCAATAAGGTAACAGGGTGATACGCATTGTAACTAAGCATTGGAAATAAGCACTCATAAACATATCAAAAAGGTGACAGAGTAATAAGAGTAATAAGCAATGTACATAAGCACACATAAACATATAAAACATATAAGGTAACAGGGTAATAAGGGTAATAAGTATTGGACCATTGGAAATAAGCACACATATTCAAAGCAATAAGCTTAAGATAACAGTGTAATAGGGTAATATAAGCATTGGAAACAAGCACACATAAACATATCAAAAAGGTAACACGGTAATAAGATATGATACTTTTGTGTGTGTCGGTGTTATGTACTCAGGAGAATATGATGTTTGTGGTGTTACTCTGAGTGTGCATCCACACCTGGCAAGCTGAAAAGTTTGCCTGAAGACGGTGGGAATCTAGTATCCCAAATGTCGCGGGTAATAAGGGTAATAATAATATATAAGATTGCCATTGGAAAATTAATAAGCATGAGACAGTAAAAAGATGGTGTAATAAATGCTGTAATAAATATTATCTGTATCTTTAATGTCTACTGTTACGACAATATGAATAACGTTACTTGCGAAATTAAAATCAAGAGTTTCTGCGTTTTTCAAATTTTGATTGGAAGTTTGAATTTTGAATGTTTTATTATATACATGACAAAACTACTGCAATCTGATTGGTTAAGAGGAGTGCAATTATTTCATTTCGTGATGGCTGGGGGGAGCGGAAAATCAAAACAACAAAATCCAATATGGCGGTGTCACAGTGATATGAGTATCCCCGTGTTTTGTGTATCCTCACACTAATATCCCTAGGGATAAAAGTACCCCCGGTGGGGATACATCAGTGGGATACCTACTGACCTACAACACTAGAAGCGAAATGATGCAATATTCAAAATATGAGCAGGAGGAAAGTCATTTATCTGTGCCTTTATTTTCCGGTATTTACGTTTTTACAGTAATGCTGCAGTAAATGTGTATAATGTGAATGTTCTTATGTTGTAAGATAGCATGTTCGCGTCGCATAAATTGGTGTAGAACATAGTGTAGAATTAATTTTTACAGCTAGTCATTTAGAAGTTGTGACAATATTACGCAGAACACGACCGCCATATTGCCGGGGATACACATATCCCTAGTGAGGTGAGCATGGGGATACACATATCCCTAGTGATGTTAGTGTGGGGATACACAAAACACGGGGATACTCATATCACTGTGACAGCGGCGAAATTTAGATAAGTATTTCTAACAAGTGTGGACGAATTTAACTGAATTTTGGCACAAGAATGAGTTTAAGAAACATTGTATGGCAAAAAGAGCCTGTGGATAATACCTGGAAACATTTTTAAGAAATAATCTTGGCGGGATGCGGCGAAATGTGACTATGTAAGTTTGGAATACAATTTATAAAGATTTTCTTAGTCTAAAATATATGTTGTTTGAGTTTGAATCTTGTGTTCTAGTTTAAGTTATGTGCCTTTATGAGTTTATAATCATTTCCCAAGTTTGTTTATACCAAATTGCTTACAAAAGAATTAAAAATTCTTGACAAAATGCAGTTGAAATATAAAGACTAATTAATGCTTTTTCGATAACACCATCAACTTGTGTGAGTATAGTCTACGTTTCCTGTTATTTACAATTGCCACTTGTTGCATGTGACAGTTTTGAAATTGTGCTAATTTAGATTTTCTTTACGAATCCTTACGAGAAGTCGTCTTGGCCACCCGGTCAAAAAGTTTCAAAGTTGGGACGAAACTTTTTCGACTATTGCGCTCGACCGGAGTTAATAGTATATATGGTTTAGAAACTCATGAGAATAACATTATAGAGCGTTTGTACATGACGTCACAGCCGCCATGTTGGTATTGGAATTCAAAAGAATTTTAATAAGACTCTTTTGTCTGGAACACCAACATGGCCGCCATGGCTTTTGTTGAGTTGGTCTCTAGGGATTGAGTGCAAGCACTCTGCCTCCTCCACACGCGTCTCTTAAGCCCGCCGCACACGAGCGCACTTGTCGCGCGTACTTGTTATTCGTGACAAGTTGGATCGACAGAATTTCCTCGTGTGCGGGCAACATTTACGGCATTTTCGTCATTCGTGACATGTAAACCAAATATCAAACATGTTTGATATTTTTCGTCATTCGTGACAAAAAAATTGTCGTGTGCGGCGAGCAAACGACAAGCGCGCCTGAATAGGAAAATTTGCGCATGCGTGCAACTTTTTTTCATGCTGTGCATGCGTGCACAGCCGCGCTTGTCGTTTGCTCGCCGCACACGAGAATTTTTTTGTCACGAATGACGAAAAATATCAAACATGTTTGATATTTGGTTTACATGTCACGAATGACGAAAATGCCGTAAATGTTGCCCGCACACGAGGAAATTTTGTCGATCCAACTTGTCACGAATAACAAGTACGCCCGACAGTAAGTGCGCTCTTGACGGTGAAGGACCATATTTATGAATAAACCTTGACTAACATAGACAATGAGTTATATTGTGATTATAATGAGTTTCCAAACCATCTATTCTATTAAATCTGGCTCAACAGACGTCCAAGCGAGTCGTATTTTGATTCAATGGCAAAGAAGTAAAATATGTTTACGGCTCAGAATTACTTCAATACACCCTTTCGATAATTACGTAATTTGGCCTGGGAGCCTCGCTCTCATGAATCGTGAGCCAATTACCTTGCGTAATTTACTGTTGAGAGCGAGTCTCCAGGACCAAAATGTACTATGTTTGACGTAATTATCGAATGGGTGTATTGAATGCCTTAAAAGTCATATAAAATTATTAACATAATAACAAAAAATCATCACATGGCTAAAATACAATTGTTGTTTACCTTTTTTGCACCGAAATAATGGTCTAACGAGGCAAAATTTAACATACAAAAATACTTCACTTTCCAACGCTGTGTATTCAAACGCTCAAGTCTGAATTTTATGAAAACTTTTGGAGATAAGCACATAATTACAATCTTTACCATCAACTGAATTTCGAAGTTGGACGATTGATATAATGTCAAATGCTGTTTTGAAATTTTCCCTACATCGAAAACGAAGTATTGATCATAAGCCCGACTCATTATCTTCAATATTTCTCTCAAAATTCAACTATACAGGCCAAACAGGCATCCATACGATACACTAGTTACTACTTGTCGTTACAGAGCAAAAACATCCCCGCCGAGAATTTCGTAAAATGAAAAAACAACTAAATACAACAGCAGGAAAAAATCACGCTCCTTCTCAACTTTTGTCGAAAAGCACGCTCGTGCCAGGCCTTTCCGCATCACACATCGATCACAAATCGTTGCAGTTGCACCGCCCTATAGACAGGATTACAGGAATAAGTGCCCTGGTTTGCTGGAAAAATCTGCATTTACCTATCGACTATACTTGTTGAAAGGAGTTGTACATAGAAATTTCGAATCAAATTTTCGCATATTTATTAGACAAAACCAGGAGCAGTTGCGAACTATAGTCCCATTGCACTGACGTCACAAATCCTTAGAGTGTCCTCCAGATGCTCTCTAACAATATCTGTTCGGGTACAACAACCACATACAACGCAAAAATTAACCATTTTAATACAAAATTATCATAAACTTTTACAAAATTCGCTTTGTTTACAAATTAAAGTTATTTTATGCATAGATTGCTAATTTGTTCTCCAGATGCATCGTCACCGACGCTGTGACGTCATGTGCAATGGGTCTCTAGTCCCTCTGGCAGGAGCTGCGGCAACTCCTCTTGTTTAGATCTTATAAATGTATAAAAATTCCACTCCAAATTTCCATCTACAAATCCCTGAAACAGTTATACCGAGTGAGATGCCCCAAATCCTGAGTTTTATTTTGTAAGATTATCTACTATAATAGCGTTTCTTCAAAGTTCTATACTTGCGCAACATATACAAAGCTTCCAGTTCTTTTACAACATAATTTCCTCGATCAATAAGTTGCTGAATCTGTTCTGGGTTTGTGACATCTTTATTCTTCATGAATGCTTGATGTAATCTCGTGTGAAAATATTCCTTGCCAGCGGGGTATTCCTTGCCAAGATTCCAAGGGGTATCCCTTGCCAAGATTCTTTCCATAATATAATAGATAGTTGTTTCAATTCCTAACAATAATTTACAGTACCTTCATAAAATATGTCTGTTTATTAACCTAATTGTTTCATTATATATACAGGGTGTATCAATAAAAACGCAACCTCGGAATTTCCTAAGAAATCACTTTGCAATTCTTAAGCATAAAAGATTTTAGGCCCCTAGGAATTGAAATCGAATTGCTAATAGATCATATTACTGTTGTTGTGCATTAAATAAATGCATAAATTTTGCTTTATGCACTCGCGTGTGCAGTAATTTTGACAGTTATGCTATTTTAAATTCCCAGGCGCCTAAAATCTTTTGTCTTTAAAACAATGCCGATTTCTTGGGAAATTCCAAGGTTGCGCCTCTCTTGATACACCCTGTATATTTGTAAATACATTAATTAAGTAATTGTTTTTAGTAATGTAATTGTCCACACGGCCCTTTGAAAATCACTCTTTGTGAAAGGCTACCGTGTTTTTAAATAAGATTAATAATAGTAATAATAATAAGATGATATATAGCTGTGGGAGGAATGACGATTTAAGCCCTCGCGAAATGAGGGTTGATGAGAGTTGACTGCAGAATATTGATATATTAGTATAGTTAGGAACTTGTAACAGGAAGTTAAGAACTTCTAACAGAAACTGAGGAAAATTTAATTGGCTTTTAGCAACATTGCAAATTCGCTCAAGGGATTTGCAAGGGAGTTTTTTAAATTGCAAAGGTAATGAGGAAATTTGCAATCAATTTAGAAACTCAAAAGAGGAACGCTTCACGTAGTTTTCCTGTAATAGTAAAATTGCATGTTAAAAGGGAAATGATCAAAAATGATGCGTTCCTACTAAATTATACTTAATATTTCTCTTGTCCCAATAACACTAGCATTTTAGACAAGAGTAAAGTCATTTTATAACTTATAAGGAAATGGTGTTCGGAACTGAAATTATTAACTATAATTCACTGATAATAAAAGGCGGATATAAAATTAAGAATTTTATACGTACCCCAAAGAGAATCCCATCTGCATTTTCTATATATATGAATGAACAATTATCACTTGTTGATAAACCAAGAGTAACTTACTTTTATAAAACAACGTCTAAAGAGTTTGAATTTTTGCACATAAGTTATGCTACTGCCGTTGCTATGGCAACAATGACGTTCCAAGATGGCGGATATTTTGGCTTTAAAGGATACAGCAATATATATTTTTATTATTTCATTTGGAAGAACTTTTAAAATTATATGTAAATCTCTTTTACCGATTTCGCGTAACTTTATTATTTCTTGAGATATTTGAACAGAAAAAATCACAAATCAGCGAGCTTTTCGCCATCTTGGATTTTGGCGGATATGTATGTGACATCATAAGCAGGGTCACGCAAGAATTTTATCCATAGAGCAATTGGATATTATGAGCCCAAAATCATATATTTCAGTAACTATTTGAGATAAAAAACTGTCTGACGACTTTTCAAACGAGACCTAATGTTATTTGGTAGTTTAGATGTAGTTTTATATGGCTAACCCTGCTTATGACGTCACTAAAATCACCGATAATGAGATAAAAATTAATCCAAGATGGCGGACAGCAAATTAATTTAAGTCAAAATATTTCAAGAAATAATAAAGTTACGCAAAATCGGTAAAGGAGATTTACATATAATTTTAAAAGTTCTTTAAAATGAAATAATAAAAAAATATATTGCTGTATCCCTTTAAAATAATTTAACTCGTAAACGACATCGGTGACCCCCAAATTTTATTTAAAAAACTGATTTCTCTTAGTACAATAAATTGTGTAAAAATTCTGTGAAGCCAAAAAAAATTATGAATAATCACCTTTACGTAATTTAAAAATTTCGGCACCACAGAATTTTTTTTAAATTCGTAAAATAATTGCCGGATTATAAAAAGGAAAATCATTTTTTAAAATAAAATTTGGGGTCACATATGTCGTTTACGAGTTAAATTACTTTAAAGCCAAAATATCCGCCATCTTGAAACGTCGATGTTGCCATAGCAACGGCAGTTGCATAACTTTTGTGCAAACATTCGAACTTTTTAGATGTTGTTTTATATAAGTAAGGTACTTTTTGGTTATCAACAAGTAATAATTGTCCAAAAATACGCATCTAAATCGTGAATTTTCCATTTTTTTTTAATACTGTGTTGAGCCACCTTAAGCTGTGTTGCATGCGGTCTTCTTGGTTATTAAAAAGTAATGGTTATCGCCAACTATAGTTGTATATTACTGCATGCATGGCTATGGGCAAATTAATTTTTGTCCTGCGAAACAGACGTAGGGCTACGTCAGGCCTTCATACACGTAAATACAGGGGAATATACTATTCTAGGATTTAAGGCGACTCGAAACAATTTTCAAATAATTCAGGTGTACAAAGTTTGAAATTTTTCAAATTCGTATTTTTGGCTTTTGTAGAGCATGCAGATGTGATGATGTTCAGTGTGAAATGGCTAGTGAATCATAGTCTTATATAAGCCGATCTTTTCTGATTTGTTCAACATGGTTTTAAGATTCACTATAATTTAATTTCGTTTGTAAACATTGAAATCGGTGGGCAGAATGAAAATAGCTGCATGTGACTGTTGCTAATTGCAAAACATTTCCCACCGAAAACACAGATAATCAACATCTTTTGGATGAGGCTTTTGTGATGTTCTGAATTATCAAGGTCAAGATAGCCTATATAAGTGTTATCAGTCGAGTCGAAGGCGAGATTGATAACACTTGCCGAGACCTTGATAATTTAGGATATCACAAAATCCAAATCCATCAATAACTGTTTTATTATACATTGGTCATTGCATTTTGATCAGTTAATTATAACTTTTTCGAAAAACAATGATCTGTCGCACAAAACAAAGTTTGGTCCTCAAAAAAAACAGTGCATGAAAACGATCTGAAATATCACAATAACAGCATAAAATAATAGAAAAGTCATTTACCTGCTGGAGTTCTAATACAAATGTCAGAAAAGTTTTTTGCCAAAAAAAACATTCACAGAAACGCCGTTCGTTCAAGCTGTTTTTTCTTTTTTTATTTGTGTTTTTAAAACTGCCGCTTGCTATACAATTGCTTACAGCGGTCTCAACCGACTCATGATTAGTTATTTGCTAGCAGATAACTGTGTTATGTGGTTGTGTGATTTCCATATTTAGCTGCAAGCTACTGGCCAATCAGAAGACACATAGTGAATAAAAATTTTTATGAGTTCCACAAATGCCCAGACATATGCATTATACATCGGGACTTCGAAGGCACAATCGTCTATAAACAAGCGTCTTCCACCTCCAGAGATCACAAATTTGATGCTCGCTGCGGACGCGCTCATGACACTTAAAGACCGGTTTCCATTGCAGTCGCTTTGCCCGCGCGGGCGGAGCGGGCTTTGAAAATCTGCACACGCGGGCGTGACGGGTGTCAAAAACAATGAACGCTTCGCCCGCGCGGGCAAAGCGACTGCAATGGAAACCGGTACCGGCCTTATAAAGTGAAAAGAGTCCATTAACGCTCTGCCGAAAGTCGTGGTTTTCCCATGGTATACTCTGGTTTCCTCCTACAGGGAATGTTGACAAGGTGGGCTAGGATTCCGACGTCATTTGCATATCATGATGAGATATTATATAGTGAGAGTCTATATCTTAGTTATCCTCCAGCTAAAATCGGTGGAACATGGTGTGCCCCAAGGTTCTACACTTGGTCGTTTGTTATTCAACATTTATATGAACGACCTGCCAATTACGTTCCTGATGGGTATCCTAGAATTAATATGTGTTGATGATCCAAAGGTTCACCTGTCGTTTTCAATTAAAAGCATGCATAGGAATCGCGGAGGCTGAACTTATAAACGATTTAAAGAAAATTTCTACTTCAGTTGGTGCTGTTCTACTAGTTTAAACTTGTTAATCTCGTAAAGACCAAGCTTCTTAGTTTAGTTGGGACGCCACAAATGCTCAAATGATGCATGCACAACACTTTCGTGTGGCTTTTCTTGATAAACAACTACAACCGGTGCCTTTTGCAAAGGATCAGGTAGCTGGTATTCCTGAGTTATGATGAGCACATAACAAAATTAGTTTCTCGGTGTCAAATAAGTATAGGTAATCATGCGATGTTGCTCGTACAATTAGGGATTAATAGTACGAGTGATGTTTGGAAATTTTGCCAAAATTGGACGAGCCGCCGGGAGTCCAATTTGGCAAATTTAATTCCAAACATCACGAGTACTAATTGTACGAGCAACATCGCATGATTACTTGTTTAATATTAGCATGACAAAATTGGATACGTAATTCTCAATGTCAACATCATACTCTCTCGCCAAAGCCCAGTCCTGCCAGACTTTCAACCAAAATTTGGTGCTTTTGTTTGTATTTTCATTTAATTCTTTTGTTCAAGCAACAATTTGGTGCTTTTGTTCGTATTTTCATCTAGTTCCTCCACGGCAATTTCATTTCACACTTGTCACGCTTGTGTTTAAAATACCTTTCCGCCATTTTGTTTGTTTTGGGAAAATCATTAATTGTACTGCAATACAATTAATGAAATAATTGTACTCCTCTCAACCAATCAGCATCCAGTAATTTTGTCTTGCTAATAATAAATCGAATTAAACATATTTTCGACGATTGCACTCTGATAACGGTAGAAAACGCTTTGATATTCAGCTAATGATACACTCCTCATCTTTGTGAGCTCTGTGTGAGGGAACACTTCCAATAAATGATACCAAACTACAAAGTGTGCAGAACTTTGCTGCGAGAATCGTTACCGCGGTAATAAAAGTAAAAGTGCCATGACCTTTGTTCAGTAATTAAAACTGCATGTCATTTGCGCGAAGTCACTTTTTTCATTAATTTTTATTAATTAAGGTACTAAGTTATTAGGCGCAGCAGCACAATTTAACGTTGAAAAATATAAACAAACAAAATAATTAATTATAACAGCAGTACAGTCAGAAGTCAGTGCCCTTTTCCCTTTATCTGTTATGTCCATATGCACATGCATCCAAATTATCAGTTGAACCTTGCTATATTTCTAATCTGTATAACTTGATCTGCCTGAGAGTATATTAACTACAATAAGAGATGAAAAATTATGATTTTTTAATTTAAAACTATAGCTATACCGCGATCCGAGATTAATCAATGAAAACGGCTTTTGCCCCATGCATGCATGAATATAGCTATTGTATATTATTTATTCAGATGTAATAGGATTAACAGTGCACGGATGCCGGCTGAATAGACAAATTGCAAATTGGGTGAGCGACGTTTAGCATCATGAAAAATGCATTTTATCTGTAGTAATATAACTGCAGCTTCACGTCACTGCAATTTGTTTCTCAATAACCTAGGAGACTGTTCAAAGTACAATAACTATATATACCGTACGGTCTGTATATACGCAGTTTCGCAGCTTCCTTCATATAGACAGTATGGGATTCTCTTTCATGGGGTACGTATAAATACTTTAGCGTTTAAATTAGATAAATCTGTCTGTTACCATATATTGAAATCCTATATAAATATTATGTCAGACTACCGTACATACAACATCTTCAGAGCAATCAGTTGCTCTGAAGATGTTGTATTGTAAACCATGCACGAAACGTTAGCTAATAAATTTTTTACTTTATTATGTTTGGTTTAAAGTTATCTGCTGGGCTCTGCTCTTTATCTTTAAAACTAAGATTTCCGCCTGGTGTATCAATTGCTACCGTATATATATGTTCAAACGAAATGCATCGATTTCGTAACTACATGCGTGTACGGGGCACATAAAACAGTTATCCAAATTCAGCATGTTCTTGTGCGTTATCACTGGGTCAGAGTGTACAAAAAATTGAAGTCCACGCATGCACTACATATAAAAATGATTTTTCTTCTTTTAAACTTCAGGTTATAGTAAACAAGGGTAGATTACATGGAGTGGGTTGACTCAGTAAACCGGGTTGGGTTGAAAATGTCGCGTTTTCCCGAGTTGTTCCGGCAAAGTGCATGATTGACATATCACACACCCTCGCGGTGTTAATTTTGAAAATGTACAAAAATTAGGTTAAAGTGCGCCTATAACTTAAAGTAAAGCTTGTATATCCTATTCACTAGCGAGGTTAGTTAATTAAAATGATGTTTGGGTTGTGGGAGGATTACATACCTATGTAAAACACCATTTAACCTTTTTATTTCATGACATTTAACTGTACTTTCCTAGGAACACCCCCCCCCCCCTAAGTTGACAAATTCATACAAAATTGCAGTTCAAAATTGTAAAACATTTTAAATACATTTTTAGGCGCGACTAGCGTCAGCGCTAAAATTCCAGACGCTTGGGCGCGTGGTTAATGGTTACCTAAAATTTACCAGTGTTTGCATGTAATTTAGTTTATAGCAAAGTTGCAATATTGAATAAAGGAATCTGAAATAAATCCAAGTTATTTTGAAGTTCACTGCCTTAGCCTGGCTAAAGGCTCTTTTCCATGCATCGCAAAACCAACTCGTAAGCTCGCTGCGAGTGATTGCATCTAATTAAAATAAACTTTCGAGCATTGTGATTGGATGAAAGTACTCGCAGCGAGCTTGCGAGTTGGAAATTGCTAGATAGTATACTTCAAAATAAGGTTTCCGATTTTATATCAATTTTTTAAGTAAGTTAGGGTTACGTTAGGGTTAGGTTAGGGTTGGGGTTAAGTTTAGTATTAGGGTTAGGGTTTTGTTTTGCGTTAGGATGGTTTTCTCTACGTTATAAAAACGGAAACCTTGTCGATTGTCAGTTTGTAAAAAAATCTGATTATGCTTGATAGAACATATTGCACTTCAAGGTATAAATAATCACAATTCACAGTGATGGTTTATTATTAATATTGTTATTATGGAAATATCATTATACATGTAAACATTGAAATATTTCGGTTACTTCGGTAGTAGCAGCATAATCAGCAATATGATACCTTACTTCCCATCATCCCCTGCAGGCATAAAATAAAAGCTGGAATTGCCTATTGCCCATGCCAAGAAACTGAAGAAAGTAGAATTAGAATATTTAGCTGACCTTCGACCTTGTGCAAGGTGTTTGATATTCAAATTGCACTTTTGCAACCTCCTGAACAGGCGTGTTAGAGGCTGTTTACAAGAGGGAAGGTGAAATGATCTTTGGTGTATTGGAACAAGTCACTAGGCTAAACGAAAGCTCAAAATGAATGCTGACTAACAGAACTCAAATATTGTAGGGAAGATCTTGTAGTTCAAGATGATTATTATTGCTGCTTGAACAACCTTTCGTTACAGTTAACTATAATCTATCTCTAGAAAATAATATTTTTGCTGAATTGTGCACTGTGACTCATTTCAACACATCGAAATCATCCCGCCTCATATCTCGTCCTGACAAAGCGGGATCGTATATATATAAACAGCCCCTTATTCAGCAAATTGTGCATGGTGCCATTCCTTGGGGGTGAGGCAGCATTTTCCTTACGATAGTAACTTCTAGTTATAATACTAAATAGGATATGATGAACAATTACATAAAGTGTTTTATCAGATTATTCAGATATAACTGAAGTCACTCCACGTGACATATTATGCGTGCAGGGTGGGAAGGAGACTTCTCCAATGGATCGCGCATTATATGCGTGTACCCAATATACAATATTTCACGGCATGATCTACGTACTTTCCAAACCCAGTTGAAGATATAAGAAATCCATTAAATAAATAATGCTTACAAGTAAGCCACAAACGAGATATTCCAGACGCATGTAGAGGTCCTAATGCCTATCCCAAAATTAAAATAAATCAGGAATAAATCACGTAAAATTAAACAAAAGTTAGAAAAGTAACGAAATACTTCTCTACAACATAAAAATTACGAAATAAAACGTTACTCCTTAAAACGACTTCGTTCCAAGTTATAGCACTCCAGAAAAAGTTTTTTTTGTTACATGCTGACTTCTCAAAAATAGTACTCAAGTACAGTAACAAAGTACATTTACTTCGTTACTTGACACCTCTGCACTTGAATAGTCTACTCTTCCCTCATGATTAATCACATAATACATATCACAGTAACATGTAGACAATTCATTTCAGATCAACTCTCATTTCCACTCTTGGTGCTGCCTTGTCAATTGGATTTCTCGCGTTGGTTCAGTCTCAGTACATGATAGACAAGACGAAAGTCTTGAAAGATAAAGTACTTTATGGATACGAATATCGCAACTTCACCATGGCAACTGTGGATGAATGCTTCCTTCAATGCTATGAAAATTGTTTCTGTATGGCATTTCAAATGTGTCCAAATGCACAATGTAAACTGTTGTCATCCAATCAATTCCAATTTCCATCAGCATTGGTTACAACGGAAGGATGTTCTTATTACGACATTCTTCCTGATCTTCAACAGGTAATTAAGCACGGTTGATGGCACAAGAATTAGGATTAGGGTAATAATGGCATAGATATACAGGGTGTTCCAAAAATCCCTAAAACTATTGAAATAAAGGTATTGTTATAATTTGGCAATAGTGCCCTAGCACTAAGGGACCGGTCATAAAGTACGGGGTGTGCTGGAAAAAACACTGGGGTGGGTCATCGAATTTTGACCATCTAAAAGGGGGTGGGTCATTGAAAATTTAACAACAGTTTCGGGGTGGGTCATAGTAAAATGCGCTTGATTTATGTAATGTTTAATAAACGAGTAGGAGTGTTTTATCACATATAAAACACGACGCGTAGCGGAGTGTTTTATATGTGATAAAACACGAACTACGAGTTTATTAAACAGCTTCAAAAACGTCTCAGTTAGATCACGGCATTGGCGAAATAATAAGCGTGTTTTATCACATATAAAGACACGCCACGCTTATGATTTCTCTTTGTGTTTTCCTCATGAATTCAATTAATGAGTTTTTGAAATAGGTTTCAAAATGTAGAGAACATTATTAAATATTATCTTTTATTTTTACAAAACATGGCTGGAAAAATGTCAATGAAGAAATACAATATGTATTGAATATTGACTTATTAAGAAATTAAAATATCTTTGTTAAGCGCACGATTTTCTGCTCTTGGGAATTTAAAGCAGCTTCTTAATAAACAGATTAATTCTAAATGCATATAATTTACTTATGCCAAGCTTTTATGCAGTTGTGGGTTCAGCAGAATGCTGAGACATTTAAATTCTAACACTACGTTATTTCAATAGTTTTGTTTTTTTGGGACCCTGTACAGGGTGTCCCCCCAAAACGTTCCCCTATAGAAATCACTCTTTTGTTGTCGAACGTGCGCTGTTATACCTGTGGGAATTTAAAATAGCTTCTAAAACTTCATTGAGATTCTCGGGAAAACAAAACTAACTATTTCCCTCGGGTGCAGACATTAAGTGTATAATATAAGTGTGATATAACAGACGATTTGATTGGCTAATGCGCGTGCATTGTGACGCAATAATGCACTGTGATCTGTGGCTGCTTTCAGCCTTTCAGCACAGAGTAGATAAGACATACAGAGACGTAACTGACCGTTGTAAACACTGCGGAAGATTACGTTATCATGTACCCACTTTTTTTCAGGCGACCGGGCGAAAAATGATCAACTGCGCGTGCTCAGTAAGTTTAAAGTGAGTCGTCATCAGGTCGTCATCCAATCAGATGCATGCATCTAGTAACTTGCCGAGCATGCGCACAAAAAAAGTGGGTACACTAGTTACGTCTCTGTATGTCTCTACTCTGTGCTTTAAGTGCTTTGCTCTTTCTCTGTTTTTCCCCTCTTCATCACTGCTTTTTAGTCACAAATATACACAAATTTATAGAGCTTTTAAAATACAAAATTTACCAGATAGCAACAAGGAATAAACCAAACGAACAAAGCAATTTTCTATAGTTCTACGTATAAAATTAACCGGCTTGGTATTCGTCGAATTTGTTGCTGCCTCGACAAGTTTTGGGTAAAAAGCGTACAAAGTAGTCGAGAAAAAAACTTGAAAAAGATACAGCTGGAAGACCAAATACATACAAAAAGACAAGTGATTTAGAAAGTACCTTCAATTCTTCTGATAATAACTGCTAGATATATTTTCGGTGAAACACAAAAAAATACAATATAAATTTCGAAAATTAAAACTGAGTACTAGTAATAAACACGACGAAACCTACGATTTACCGTCTTTCATGGCAAATCCAGCAGCCTAGATGCTGAAAAACTTTGGCAAATTAGTTTGTGTGTCATTGCTTTTTTATTTACACAATTTTAAACAATTTTCCCGGCTTGATAGCATCAAAAGTTTGTATATTGTTTTGACAATTTTTCTCCTTCGCTCGCTTAAAAATTCAAGCGAGTAAGCGACAGTAAAAGGCTAAAAGCACACTCACTTGTCAAAATACATACACGCTTCTCTCGTATTCTCCCAACATTCCCCGCGTGCATTATCACACCATAAACGCACGCGACTCGTTTTCTATTTCTTAAATAACGCACAAGAGTGATTTCTAAAAGGGGACTTTTTTAGACACAGGATGTCTCAAAAAAAGTATACCCTTTGAAATCAAGCCTTTGTTGGAATTTAAATGCCTTATTACTGTGCTGAAACCACGGGTGCGTAAAAAAGTATACATAGTCTTATTTAGTACAATTGAGATTTTATAAATAAGCCTTATATTCAGGTTAAGTACAAGATTTTCTACACCTGGGAATTTATAATACACAAAAACTGTCAAATATTAAGGTAACCTGAGTATCAGGCCCTCGGTATTGAAGAGAGCCTGACACAATTCACCTCTACGGGCTTTCCACCCCCAGAATATCAGCCAATTAAAATTATTTCCGGTTGTAGCATATTTCCGGTTGTCCGCTACAGGTATGTAAATACGCAAATTTCGTTATTTGCAGTTTTGTATATAAAATTTGAATAAATACGGAGAAAAATCGGTATGTTTTTGTCGAAATATCCATATGATGGAATTCTAGGCGTAAACTATGCCTCATTCGCGGAACCATAGCTCGATGGCTTTTTCCAGGAGTCTAAAGAGACAACATTCGGCGCTCTGAATATATGTTAATAGTTTATTCGAGACAGCTATTCGCTTCAACTGCGTCTGACACATGTACAGCGGCTATTGTCTTCAATTTCTGCCTGATGTTGGCATATTAGTTCAAGCGAGCTGACTACTATATCCTTGCAAAAAAAAAATTTGCTTGAAAAAAAAAACAAAAAAAAAACAACAAAAAAACCCACATTTGCTTGCAAAAGATAACATTTAGTATAACCAACTAAACTTTGTATATAGTCTTTGATAATTGTTTAAACTTATATTTGTAACCTTAATTATTACTGCATGCATGTAACTGTAAATAATTTCTGAAAAACCCTTTTAGGGAGAAATTTATTAAATATCTATCTTGCAGGTCTTGGAAAACAGCTCGGCAATAAACTGATAAATAAGGCTTCAACTTTTGGAACTAAATATTTGAAAATTTCCGACATCCACATATTTTCGTTCTACGGCGACTATTACGGCGAGATATTTAGACACGCTTTCTACTATGACTATGTAGTTTTAGTTTTATACCGAGTAAAATGTTGCTGCAAAAGCGTTTTCAACGTCTTTTCGTATTCGCCTTGGCGGCTCGTGCAATTTTGGCACATTTTTCAAATATCACTCGTAGTGTTAATCATTAATTGCACTCCTTCCCGTGTGATTACCTATACAAATTATACGCTCAAAGTACAATCATATATTAACTCAAAGTTCATGCATAAAATTCGATTCAATTGTGTTTACGCACGCCGTGGTTTCAACATTGTAACAGTGAATTCTAATTCCAACAAAGGGTTGATTTCAAAGGGTATACTTTTTTTGAGACACCCTGTACTGGGTGTATAAAAAAAACGCAACCTCGGAATTTCCCAAGATTTTAGGTGCCTGGGAATTTAAAATAGCACAACTGTCAAAATTACTGCACACGCGAGTGCATAAAGCAAAATTTATGCATTTATTTATTAAATGACACTTAATAAGTTTTTATTTTACAAGTACAGTACAACAACATTAATATGATCTATTAGCAATTCGGTTTCAATTCCCAGGGTTCTAAAATCGTTTATGTTTAAGAATTGCAAAGTCGATTTCCTAGGAAATTCCGAGGTTGCGTTTTTTTATACAGCCTGCATAGGTACGGGATTAGGGACTTGACAGGATTGAACTGGCTTACTAACGGAAAACAGGGCCTGGCTGCTACCCTGATTAACTACAGGTTGGCGCTAACCTCAACTCGGTCATATGTTGGGTGGAAAGCTTTTCCGGTGTCTGGCGAGTTTTAGTTGATGGCGGATGACAGTGGCGTAGCCAGCTCGATAAGTGGGGGGGGGGGGAGAATATTCATATATTTGTAATTACAGACCGTAAAAACAATCAATTCCAAAAGAAATTAATAAATAAATGCAGAACACGAATATATGAATATGTCCCCCCTCCCACTTATCGAGCTGGCTACGCCACTGCCGCCGGATGGACAGAGTGAAGGCTACATGATCTACCTGATCCAGGAAAACCGGTATTGAGCCACCCAGAATAGCATCATCTAATCTAGAATTTTCTCCTTCAGATCGAAAAGGTGACTGCTACTGGTTGTAACCAAGTATCTGCCTGTCAATTTCATGATCATCTGTGTCAAAATAACGGAAGCTATGTTCCACTCACACCTACAGATTATACAACACCTCGTTACAAATGCCAGTGTTTAACAGGTTATACAGGACGCCTTTGTCAACATGCAATAAAATCTTGTCGTGCTTACAGTAACGGTTCCCGAGTCCCTGGAAATTACCAGGTGTTGGATGATAACATGAAACCCTATGAAGTGTTCTGCGATTTTGATTTAAAATTCAGCAAGGTATGGACACTCGTTAGTTCATATCAACTTCAAAATAAGGATAATTTTGATGAAGCCTATTCTAAAGATTGGCCTGTAAACGAAGACACGCCTCGCTGGGATGAATATCGTCTTTCGAAACCCAGAATGCAATCTGTTCAAAACGATTCCAGCAAATTTCGTGTGACATGCAAGTATGATACCGATGGCCTAAACTACACTGATTATCTTGAAGCAAGAAATGAACACATTGATGTCCTGAATTTCGAATATAGCCACACGCGCAGTCCCGTCGTTTGCTCTTTAGTAAACTATGTAAGTATTCGAGGAGATGATTGCGCGTTCTGTACAATGATTTTATTCCAAGTTCGAGACCAGTACACATTTCACACGGACTCTGCTAGAATAGGCACTGCCTGTGACTTTGAATCAACTGGTGCAAAAAAGTGTGGAGGTCCCGGAGAAGATAATTTTGGTCACTATGATTGTGTCAATCCAGCCCACCGTTGTTCATCGTCTGCGGATGCCACGACACAATTATGGTTTGGAACCGACTGGTTGTAACGGATTTATAAAACTTTTGTGATCGAAACTGTTAGAAGAACGGCCTGTCCCAATTATGAGGAATTTGTTTCTGTCAATTACCACAAATAGAAGATACTGATTCAACGTTGTGCAACAGATATTTATCATTTATAGACCTGGAGCGAGAGTGATTCGGTGAAATGTTACCCGAAACTATTATTTTGTAGGCCATCTTGTCATGCGTGTTGTCTGGCGTGGTCTACGCGAATGATGTTCAACCCCATGCTCCCCAGGGAACATGGGGCGTAACATTGTCAAAAGGAACGCAGGCTCGCTAATTGATGACGTAAGGGGTGATATCGCGATTAATATCATGCTTACGTGCCACAAACTGAGCTTTCTGATTGGACAATTTGAAGATGAGGTATAATATTAAACAATGTATAAAATGTATGATATATAGTCGATATATCTAGACTTCATCAGAAAAGTGGTGAACGCTCCCTTTCCTGGGTGCGTCCCAGGTCATGACGATGCGTCAAAAACGCATCTTTATTAGATGAAAAACACTGAACATTCTGTTCAGATGAACGAGGTTTTGCCAAGGGAGTTTATTAAAGCATGCCGAACGAACAACTTCTTTTTAGCGCGAAAAGATTCAATGAATATTAACGGTTTCCTATTGCACTGGATTAAACAGACAGTTCAAAATCATAAGGTAAATATTACGGGAATTCCTAAATTATAAATCGTATTTTGCGCAAAAACAAAACGGCTTGCAGTAGCAACCATAACTATGGACTGTCGGGGGTTTTGTGATTTTGGGTTTTCAAAGGACAAGATTAGTTGAACATTCGGTTTAAAGCGCGTATGACACGAGAGTATTGGCATTAAACGAAAGAAATTTCAAAACTAGTTGTAGTAAGAGTAGCAAACTAATTGTATAGACTTTCATTTCCATTTTCCGTTTTTGAGCTATTTAATTAAGTAATTTAATTTGACTGAAAAGAATGGAGCATTTTTACCAAACTTACATGGCTTTATACAAGAATGAGGAATTAATTAATGTCTTCCATGTTTGTATTAATTAAATGAAATCATTCTGAACAAGAGTGCGTGCATGTCAATTTCTCACGCTGATCTTTAAATAATATTTTCTATATTATCATTATTGTTATAATAATATAAATGTTCGTTTTTCCAAAAAGGGTTTTCGGAAACTATTAGAAGCAATATAATGACTATATGTTCCAAACTTAAACCGTATATAATTATACTTGCATATTACAGATTGTTTAGGGTTATGGCCTCGTTTCCATGTTAACTTATTTTACCATGTCATGGGTAGATAAAGATTGTATTCCCATGTTTTCCTGGACGAATTTGTTTCTTGCTGTTCCTAAGCTCAATAACAAAGTAATTTTCAACCCTATACTAAGCACAAAACATGAGTAAGTATTTGACATGAAAACGAGGCCATTGCGTGAAAAGTGAATATTAAAGGGTAAGGTCTATTATTTAATTGAGATACTGAACTCCTAAAGATAAATAAATGTTATAGGAGGTATTAAATAGTCCACTATACTTATAATATAAGTTTCGTACCGAATTTAAAAAAATGTTCTGACTGGAAATGTCTCTTATGTCCTTCGTGGTATAGATTGTTCCATAGTTTGGTCGTACTCCTGATTTTTTCAACCAAACATGAGTGATATATGATTGACCGAATTTAGTTTAGATGACCTTGCATACCTATATATATCATTAGTTTTTTCAGTGAGTATTTTTATTTGTAAAGCAGTGACACTTTGTTTTTCATGTAACTCATCGCCTAAAGGGGCAATATCTCCATAAATTAATTTATATAAGAAAACCCGAAAAATTCATTTACTTAATTAATACATAGAGAATATTACATGGTTGCGCGGAAATATGGAATTTATTTAGAGTGTTGAAGAGACTATTAGTGTAATTAAAATTTAGAAATAAAACTGTTTTCGACCGGTTTACGGTTACTGTTTTAGTGTTGCAGTGTTTCTTGCACACCCACGCTTTCAAAGTGGCTTCCTGTGTGACTTTATTGCATTATTACAAAGTTATTTTTATCGAGTTCTGCTTAGAATATAAACATAATGATGGAAGCCTTATAAAAACGAACGCTGCCCCACAGCTGCCCTGCAAAGTGGGCCATCTACAGTTCATCTTTCCGTCTGATGTCACGGTCATGCATGTGTCTCTGATCGAAATGAGAATCGTCTTAAAGGGTATGGCGGAGCTAGACATTTTAAACACTTGATTACATAGATATTCTATATACACTAGGTAGTGCATCTAATTATTCTGCAATTCAAAAATTGAAGCCGTGATTGCAGACTCAGGATATTCCCTGAAATATTCCCGTATATGTTTTCTATTTCTTAAACAGGGAACTTAAACATTAAGTTAAACCTATTCCAAATACATATTTAAACTATTCAAATGATGAAAGTTATTGTTGTTTTTAAGCGTTTATTAGCGAGTGGGAAACTCCAACATGGCCGCCATCTATTCAAATGGGGGTAACCGCTGGAATATTCTTGGCTTCAATTTTACTAAAATTAGAGACGCGCTATCTAGTTTATATAAGATATCTATGCCTGATTATCGTAACTGCGTCTGTACAACGTACGCAGCATATAACAAACAAGTATAACCATGGAGTTATAAGTTGACGTAACGCAAGAGTTGTACAGTCATAATTATTTACGCGTGCCGCACGTTTTCCATAGAGATAATAGATCTGTTCTATATTTTACAACATGAGCGCGGCTATGTTGAATCAGATGTACAAACTCGAGCCGTCGCCGTCTTAATAATGAGAACATTCATATTCTTCAACAATTTAAAATTAATTAATGATATATTTAATGTAGTGAGAAAATTGAACTATGTAAATCAGCATGATTTTGTATCAGATACAAACTCCTTCACGCTCATGATTTCTTTTGTGTTTTCCTCGTGAATTATTTATGAGTTTCATGCATAAGATTATATGGTTATATAGATGATGATGTGGTTATGTGGTTATATGGTTTAATGATTATGTGGCTATATGCTTAAATTAAATGGTTATATGATTACCTGGTTTAATTAATGGTTATATGGTTATGTGGTTATATGGTTTAATGGTGGTATGTTTAAATGATTATGTGGTTATATGGTTACCTACGTTAACGGTTATATGGTTATGTAGTTATATGGTAATTTAATCATGATGTGGTTATATGTTTTAAATGGTTATGTTGATATGCATGGTTACCTGGTTGAACGGTTATATGGTTATGCCAGTATGTGGTTTTATGGTTATATGGTTATGTGCCATACCCTTCTTTTCCGTCCGTAACTTAAATATTCAAGGATACAAAGGTGCTGTTTATACGATCTCGAGTACTAGGGAAACCCTACCCCCGAGCTACCCTGGCAGAAGCAAAATTATATTCGTTATATAACATTTAACCACTGCGGTAGGAACACCCTGTTTACGAAACAGTGTTACCCTTGTAGGAGGTACAACTTTTGTCCATGTAACCAGCTTGTCTCGGCCTCCATGGCTAACTTTTCATTTCCTGATTCCGGTTCCCAGGCCTTCAAACAAATAACTGCACGTTTAAGGAGTCACAATCTCGTACTTAGAGACATTCTCGTAGGAGGGGATACAGTGTCAGGGTTATAAATTTTCTCATATAACGTGCGGTAAAGTTGTCCCGGGGTGTAGGGTGTCCCTATAGCATCCGAGATCATATAAATAGCGCCAAAGTCTTCCTTGAGGACATGAACCATAAAGCCATTTCCCACAGAAGTATACAAAATTTGAACCCAGGATTTCGCGAGAGATTTCGGCATGTTTGGGGACATCTCCTGATTTCCCACGCTCACCCACAATAAACATGCATGCTGAGCTTTAAGTGCTTGGATGGTGCGCTATAAAATTGGCCATTTTATAGCACCAAGCACTTATCCAAAAATCAAATGCTAATAAAATAAAGGCAAGTTTGAGCCAAGATGTTTAAATTCTTGTTTATATCAGGTAAGAAGTCCCGTCTTAACCTTAACCAAGAATTTTTAACTAAATTTTGTGTTTTACACAGTTCTGAAGGCGTTCGAAAATAATGCTCACATCAGCACTTTTATTTTTCAAGACGCTGTATTAGACTCGGGAGGAATTAATCACATTGATTCAAAATTTCTGGTGAACACTCGTAATAATGATATAAACAACATATATAGAACTTCCAGTATAGATTGTTTATTACTTACCGTCAAAATGGGAAAGGTCGATCACTTTTGTAATCGAAAATATGTTGTCAGCTAGACGTCTATGTTTATAAACAATCGCGTGGCTACCATCGGAAAATATCGTGATGTTCCGGTATATTCCAGGAAAATGTCGTGATATTCCGCCATATTCCGTGATATTTCGGCATTCCGGGTATTCACGTACAACGCCCATAAATAAGCATAGTAGTCGCGAATTTATTGTCGTGTGGAGTATACGGAAAACTATTAAGGCTGCATTGGTATCTCCGTTTTATGAGAAAAGTACCGTTCAATTTTACTTGAGATATAAAGCCAAGTTAAATGTCTATATAGTTTGGTGTGTTCAAATTTATCTCAACCTATCTCACTAGGCAGAAAACACTATTTTAAATACGCCCGCGCTTTAAATTTTGCAAGTATTTTCATCGCTCGAGTAAAATTTTTGCCCTGATATTTTCTTTCAACGAGTGTTCAGTAACAAACAACACAAGCTATTGCATGTGATCTAACTGATTAACATCTAATACGATATTAATCATCTGATGTAGCCGTAGTATAGGTCACATCACTTTCCGTCCAGCAATTAATGTTACTAGATACTACCATATACTAAATTATATTTGCCCGCTGTCGCCGATAGGCTCATAGGGATGGAATCAGTAGCTAGTTAAGATGCGCCTGACTAAGCAGGAAACATCACCAAGGATAATAATTCCTAGAATCCTTAGTCGACCAATGGTACC